CCCAGGTAAACAAAGTTCTTTGTGGAGCTTCATTATGTAGATGTTCAAGCCCAGGGATGCAAAAGTTCCAGCATATAGTTTATGGATTTCAAAGAAAGAAATTGGAGGACTCAACTAAGGGAGTTTAGACATTTTATTACTCATGCGATGGACTGTGATAAAATGGAGGACTGTTCTGTGCCTGCATTCAGGCAAAATATTCCCAGGGGCAAATTGATGCCAGCCACACATATGGGTTTCCTCAGGTGTTTTATGAGGACATGACTTTACTTTAGAACCAAGTTCGTTCTGCTTTGATCCCCACCTAAAGATTGGAGATAAGGCAAGTGGCCAGTTTCCTTCCTCCTTACCCTCCATTCTTGGGAGTCCTTTTTAGTTTACCTTCAGGAACAACAAGCCTTCTAGGCACTGACTTGTGCTTATCCCAACAGTGGCCGTGATTGCTTGATTGCCTACATGGTTGAACCCTAATGATGGTTTGTCCCTCCACCCTAATACCGCCTGGTGTGGCTAGCCCATGTTGAGTTGTCTTGTTAGCAGAAACTGTCAGGAGTGTCCAGAGGCCCACTATCATGACGAAGTTACCCCTATGACTCAGGAAATTTCAAAGCTTTAGAAGTACCCCTGGAGCTGGTAGAAAGGCCAGAACTATCTTTGGGGAAGAAATCCTTACTACATATTAGTAGAAGAACCAGCATATCTCAATGTCAGTAATATAAATTTTCCCATTGTCCTTCAGAGCCTGGCTTACTATAACCACTTATCTCAGCTTTACAGAGGTTTGGCGGTGATTGGTCCAGCACTGCTGCTGTGACCACTCTGCATGCAGACATCCTTACTGCTTCTCGTGCTCTCTAGCACTCCTCAGGCAGTGTAGGTTACAGGGATCCACACTTGAGGGACATGGACACCCAAGAAGAAGTAAGATACATGTCTCAGGGCTCAGATTTATTGATTCATCAACTATTTTTTTTTTTTAAATGTGCTTTATTGATGGAGACTGTTCTGAACTCAGGGCGTTCGGTGGAGCTTAGAGGTTAATGGGCAAGACAGATATCATACAGATAATCTCACAGGAATACATAGCCATGATAAGACCTACAAAGGAAATTTCAAGGATCTTTGAAACAGTGAAACAGGAGAAACCAAATTTAGATTGGAGGAGGAATGGTTCATTGAGGAAGTGACATTTAATTCAAGATTTAAAGAAGGTAAATATTAGCCAAGTAACTGGAAACACTGATTTGATTTTAGCTGGTAAGAATAGCTGTTTTGAACTGCTTTCCCACTGCTGCCAAATGAGGAAAATGTTCCCTAATTAATCCTGAAATTCAATGGCCCTTTATATAAGGTCCTTACTGCCTGTGGGGGTTAAAAGGAAACTTAGGGAAATAACTTGGAGATAAGGCAAGAGGCCAGTTTCCCTCCTTGGTGAAGTTGTGAAGAAACATTCAAAGAGAAGGAAGCTTTGTAAAGTTTTCAGCTTATTTCATGCCTATTTCCAAAGCAATTGAAGGTTCTCTCCATTTTGTAGGAGTCTGGCACCTATGGGATCTGGCTCGTAGATCCTCTATGCTTTCATTCCATGATGCCCTGGGACCACCATCAAGACTGGCTTTATTCTTTTTCACAGTCACAGTTTCTCCAAGCCTAGGGAGCAGAAGTCATTCTGGAACATTATGAACTGTTCCCTGTTGAGATGAGCCAAGTGTGCCACAATGGAAAGGTCACCTAGCTCTGACACTCAGTTTAAAGTGTACTGGAATGAAAGTCATGGCAGGCCTCAGACTAAACACTGCGAGATGCCTGAGTATTAAATGATGTTTCCTCTAATGTTGTACATTGAGGTTTTTCCTTCTCTCCACTTTTTTTGGGTGTGTGTGTGTGTGGGTGGGTATTAAACTCAGGGGTGCTTTACTACTGAGTCTTATTCCCATCCCATTTATTTATTTTAAAACTTTAAGATAGGGTCTTGCTGAGTTATTTAGGGCCTCTCTGAGGCTGGCCTCCAATTTATGATTCTCAGTCTCCTGAGTCACTGAGATTTCAGGTGTGTGGCACCATGTCTGGCTTCTCTTCACTCTTGAACAAATGGATAAAAAGGCATTGCTGGCTGTGGGCATCTTTACATCCGAGAGTTTGTTTTTGTGTGATTCTATCTTCCACACAGTAAGGCTGATGAGAAAGCTGACCATCTTTTTGTCTCTGAACCATCTTTGTGTTGACTCTTTGAGGACATTTTGTTCCTCTTTGTATTTTATCTTGTAATCTTATTGGATGAAAAAAAGTGTTGATTTTCAGGAAGGACTAAAGGACCCCCACATACAACTTTTTTCATAAGAACAATGTTTTGCTTTTCCCTCTCTGTTAGGGCCAGCATCTCCTGTGTCTTCCCTCTTTGATAATTTCATCTGGAGCCTCCAACCTCAGAGCTTTTGACTTCCTTTCCCTAGTAGCTAAGGAGTGTTCAGTACTTCTTAAAAATAGACAAGTAGGAACATGTATCACCAATAGGAGGCTGCTGTTGGTAGTTACACAGACCAAGACCTATAAAGCACTCCTAAAAGCAGACAGGAAGGGTTGCATGTCCTTCCACTGTGTGTCCTTTCTATTCTTTGGGAAGAAAGGCCATGTCTTAGCCTGGATTTCCTTAAATATAGTTTGAGCAAAGGTTTGCATGAAGGGCGTGTATTTGGGAAATAATTCCAGGGAGCAGGAGTGAGGGATCAGGGAGTAGAATTGGACAGTGAGGAACGCCAGTTCAGTGGTGTATGATGGAACTGGCCACTCTTGTGTGTGGTGGTGCTTGATCCTATTATGACCTTATGAATAGTCTTAAGAATGTGTCTCAGCCTCTTCCCCTTCATGGGGGAAAGGAGAGTGCCATCTTGAAGGTGAAACCATTTACTCATTTATTTTCCCCATTGTTCCAAAGCGGTCCCAATGTGCTCATCTCCTCTTACTCTTTCTCCTTTCACTCCCTTTCCTTCTTTCTTCTTGTCCTGGAAATATAAGATCCAAGATGTAAGAAAGCCAATGATGTGAAAGACATTCTGGAATAGCTTTTATACATCAAGCTCAAAGAGCAATCAGTTCACACAGGACAAAGGACAGAGTTCAAGGGAAAGGGAATCTAAGAGAAAAAAGGAATTATTAATATATTTGATGTACTTGAAGCATTTGGGAGAAATTATTAATAAATATTTTTAAGAATTTGTTGAAAACTTAGAAAAATAGGGAGTTGATATAGAACAAATGAAAAAAAATGAGGCAATTACTGACTTTTTAAAAAAAAAGTTGTGCCAGGAAGGAAATATAACCATAGTTCTCATGTTGACTGGACAGTGACAATATTTACTGGCTTATAATCATACATATAGTGATTTAACCCAAATGTGATGTAACTATGTTGGGAAGGTAGGAGTAGTGGTGTGCTACTAGAGAAGGAAGTCAGCAAGTAATATCTAATGTTGATAAGTCAAAGATATAATTATATTATTTAGGAATTGCTAAAATGGAGTTGGATTAGAAGGTAGGGGGAAAGCATGGTACTGCTATTTTTTTTTTCCCCTGCAGAGTGATGAGGGAACAGACCTTTGTAGCTCTCTGGGCATTTTATATATGAGCAGTCAGTATTTTGATTTTAAAATAAAAGGCCTTAGTTATAATTTTATATATGTGATTTAGTTTGTTGATAAGACAGGATAGATAGATAGTAGAATAGGCAGACACTTAAGAGAATGAGCCCCATAAAGGCTTCTCTAAATGTAAAGGTCAATCCATGAGATTAACCTGTAGGAGCATCCAAACATTCCAGCCAATTACTTGGTCTCTGGTGGCAGGAAAAAGGAGGCAAGACAGACCTGAATGAAGGCTACAGACTCAAGGATGAACCAATCAGAAGGTTTCTGGCTGAACCAATAGCCTTAACACTTTTCCAATGTCTGGTTAGCACAGATTTTGACCAATAACTTTGGTACTTTTCCAGTACCTGATTTGCATAGGTATTGATTAGTGCCCCTACTTAGTTACTATACAAGCCCCTCGACTAGTACAGTTAAGTGGCAATATTTATCTGGTCCCCTCTCACCCTGTGGGAGCTCTGTCTCTTTTCTTTACACTTGAATAAATCCTACTTTTTTATGCTCACTCTTCCTTACTTGTGGATTTCATTCTTTGAATTTGTGAGATGAGAACCTAGGAGGAAGGCACTGGCGGGAGGTTGGGGTCTGCTGTGACACTACAGCAGCAGAGGCTGAAAATTTGGTTTCTGAAGAGCAATGATAACAGCAGTACTTATATTTCAGCATGAGAATTACACTGGGATTTGGAATAATAACAAGAACACTCACAGTTATAAATGTTGAGACCCATTGATTTAGATTCACTGGGTTTGAGTTTCCATTAGGTAACCTCTGTGTAAGAGAAACTTAGAACCTATATATATATTTTTTTCCCAAAGCATCCTTGGAACTTCCCCAGCACCAACTCTCACCAGAACTTTATCTCTATACATCAAACCACACCACAGAATCAACCTTCTACCATGTTTCCTAAAGCAATTCTAATTTTTTTCTTTTACGTATTATTAAGAAAGGCAACTGCTGGGCATCAGTAGGAAAGAATTTGGCAATAAAATAATAAAGTACTTCTTATTTTATTTCATACTTTTCTCAAGAATTAAGGTATTAGCTCAGCATGAATAGCACATTCATGGTGAAATTAAGTCTATTGCTAATAATAGACACCATTATATAATGCTTTATATAACGTGCAGGGGGCCTTGTTAAGCCCTTTTCATATATTACTACAGTAAGCCTCACAGTTAGGGTTAGGTATTGTGATTGACACTGTTTCATTTTTTACTTGAGGAAAACACTGAGGTACAGAGAAGTTCAGTCACTTGGTCAAGATCATTCAGTTAGTAAGTGGCAGAACCAGGATTTTGACACCTGGCAATTTGGCTCTAGAAACTGTAGATTCTACTTCCAACATAAAAATCACACATTGTCCTGGTTAACATAATTGGTGATCTTGCTGTAGGAATCGGAGAAGGTCTAGAAAGGGAAAGCATTGTTATTTAAAAAAATTTTAAAAACTTCCATCATCTGTTCAAGTATAGAGACAGACAAGAGTAAGAAAGGAGATTTTAACTGTAGGGTTTGGGTATGGGCTGCAGGTGCCTGGGGAGCACTGTGCCCCACAGCACAGAGGTAGGTGGCAGAGTCTCTGGGCTGGGACGCTTCGATGTGCAGGGAGCTTTGACTTTCCTTTGTGTTTATTGTGGCACTCATTCTTCTGTTCTTCTTCATCTGTAAGCTCAGTACAAACAAGGAGACTGTGCCTCTTCCAGGATTCTGTTGCAACCAGTGTAAGGTGGTCATTCCTGTGGAGTAGCTGCAGTTGATGGTGATTAATTCTCCTTCCTGGGCACTCAAGTACTGAGGACTTTGCTCCACTTCATTTTTGCCACTTACACCTGTTCTCAAAGACATCATCAAACACAGAATATCACCATTATTGCAGTATCTCTACACAGTTCTTTACACATTTGCCAGAAGACACTCCAGATCAGTCACTTGGAGTCCCTGCTCCCCCTCCTCAGAATTTTGAAAACCTCTCCCTTTTCTCTTCTTGTTCTCATGTCCAGGAACTCCCCAACCTACAGCTGAGCTGAAGCCACAGAACAGCCAATGAAATTTGCAGGTTCTTCCCCATTATTACTGTGGCTGAAGCTCACAGACGTCTTGGTAAGAGGATCTGGGAAGAAATTCTAGTTGTTCAAGTGAATCTTATTATTATAGCTTTTCTATGTTTACTGTAGAAATCAAAGGGGATTCCCAGCCCATCAGAGATAGCAGAAATGTACATGCATGCACTATTCCACTATTTATAGGGGAACCAGCCATGATTTTTAAAATACAGTGCCCACATTGCCATCTGGTGGCAAGCTGCATAACCATTTATTAAGTAGGTCAAATACTCTGATATAAAAACACCCCCCCCCCCCTTCCAAAAAGAAAAAAACAAACAAAACAAAACAAAACAAAAAACCCAACAAAAAGACACATATAGAACCAAACTTAGCATCACCCAAATAGAATTCCCAGAAACTGGGGTAAGGTGTGGGAATAGTGGTTTGATGATTCTTTGATATCAACCAGCTATGCTAGATAACTGAGAATAGATAGCATTTTATATCTTTTATTAAAAACTCAAGGATAGATTTTTTCTCTTTTTTAAAGTTACACGGATAAATAATTGGTTTCTTCATATGTACCTCTGTTTCTCCACATGATATGATTTCATACTTCTTTAATTTTATGTTTCTTTTTGGACTTGTTACAGTTTGTTCACGTCTCTTCAAACATGTTTCAAATGTTCTAATCCTGTCAGAATGTCACTTTTTTTCCCCTGTGGTTTTCACTTGTCTGTGATGTCCATGATTGGGTGGTTTCATCACACTGGTTAATTATTTTGAACTTATAGTAATTTTCCCCCTTTGAGATTCCTCCCATCCCATATGGGAGGAATGGATATGCCCTTTCAGAGAATCTAGACCTCCTTTTCCTGGTAATAGCTTATTAGATCTGGGTACATGTGGTGAGCCGCTTCTGCCGTTTCTGCAGATTATGGTCGCCATTACAAGATGACGCTGGCTCCGCTGTGGTCTGTGACAAACAACTCCTTATCTGGGAGAGTTGGCACATGATTTTTCACCACCCTGTGAGAAAGCTCCACGCGGCAGCTTTGCATTGGGGCTTGGGATGCTTTATTAAGGCTGGGAGGGGCATCAGAGAGAGAGAAGAAGAAATATCAAGGGCCTGAATAAACTGCTGAAAGAAGATTCCTGAGTTGCGTCTTCCTTGCGGGCAAGGGGTCGCGACAAGTGGTGCCGAGACCCGGGAACCAGAACTTTCAGCAGTCAGGGGTGGTGCACCGGTTAGTCCCAGGTAAGTGGGATCCGCGACCAAAGCGGGGTTAGTCCCAGGTAAGTGGGATCCGCGATCAAAGCGGGGTTAGTCCCTAGTAAGTGGGATCCGCGACCAAAGCGGGACAGCTCCTCTGTAATGAAAGAGAGAGCCTTACATTTTATTGCAGCTGCACTGTGTACTTTCGCTTTCTGTTTTTTGTGCTTCCTTTGTTGTTGTGTCATGGGTGCCGCATCTTCAAGTCCGCTTCTCCTGGCCCTAGATGGCCTGTTACGTTCCAAGGGACTGGAAGTGAAACATAGTACTTTACAGAGATTTTTACAGAAGATAGATATCGCTGCACCGTGGTTTGCATTTTCGGGCAGCCTTACTGTGCTTAGTTGGGATAAATTAGGCAAAGATCTTGACTTTGCTTCTGAGCAGGGCATATTAGAGGGTGGGGTGATACCCCTTTGGAAAATGGTCCGTGGTTGCCTTACAGATGACAGATGTCAGGAAGCACTTACTAAAGGACAGGAGGTTTTAGAGCAATTGCATGAGGAAAAATCTGAAGGATCATGTAGTGAAGTGGCAGAGAGTATTAAAAGTAACAGTAGTGAGAAGGCAAAAGAGCCTGAAGATAAAAATAGGAGAAGGCTCTACCCAGACTTGACCGAATTAAAAACGCCTGAGAACACAAGCGACTCAGAGAGTTCTGAGGACCTTGATATATTGTTACAACAACTACATAAGATAAAAATGAAAAAGAAGAAAAAGGAGACACAGGGCACCCTGGCCTACTGTAAGAAGGGGAAGGGAGTTAACATTGGTCAACAAAACTCTGAGGAGGAGGAGGTAGAATATCTAGAAGAAGATATGGTGCTGATTGCCCCACCTCCGTATGTGGGGGGGAGCCAAGGTTCCGGGAGATCTTTTCATGCACAAGTTTGGAGGACAGTTAATACAGATATGTGACTTGCATACCCTGTATTTCAGGACAATAACAGGGGAAGATATCATGAGCCTTTAGACTTTAAGATAATTAAAACCTTGGCAGAATCTGTCCGCACTTATGGCATAGATGCCGCTTTCACTCTCACTCAGGTGGAGGGACTTACTAGATTTTGCATGACTCCCTCAGATTGGGCTAGTCTAGTCCGCGCTTGTGTTTCCCCAGGGAAATATTAGGAGTCCAAAGTTGGCTGTTTAATGTTTCTGGCAGTACCCAAGACTCGGAGTGAGGTAGGAGGCTTAAAATTTCTGCAAATAATTCACAATTATCTAATGCTACATTACCCTCCGCAGCAGTCCGTCTCCAATCTCCGTTCCTGTTTCTTTTGGCTAATGTTACATTACAGGGGATGCTTAATTGCTCTAATATTACCTGTTATTTGTCTGAGTGTTGGAATGGCTCCTGGACTACGGCAGTGGTTATGAAAATTCCAACCTTTGTCCCGATTCCGGTTACTACAGATCCAGAGTCTTTTCCTATTGTTGAACTGATTAGAGCCCGTAGAGATTTTGGAATTACGGCAGCTATAGTGACAGCTGTGGCAGTGTCTGCTGCTGCAGCGGTTACGGCCGGAGTGGCCATGGCCAGTCAAGTACAAACTGCTGCCACCATTAATCAAGTTGTTCAACAAACTTCTACCATACTTGAGTCCCAAAATTCAATTAATCAACATATTTTGTCAGGGATTTTAGCTGCCAACCAAAGAATAGATTTACTCCAAGCTCAGGTAGAAGAATTGGCCGACTTGGTGCTTTTGGGTTGTGTTGACCAACGTGCACATTTATGTATAACCTCTGTCAGATTTAATGATTCCAGAAATGCCTCCCGCATCATCGGAGAGTATCTATCCGGAACCTGGTCCATGGAAGCAGAAAACTTGATCCAGTCTCAACTAACTCAGATTGCTGTTTTGAATAGTACCCGTGTCGAACCAGTGACTTTGGGTCAATTCACCGATTGGATATCTTCTGCTTTTTCCTTCTTCAAAGAGTGGGTGGGAGTAGGCATTTTTGGTGCAATGTGTTGCTTCGGTGTTGTACTTTGTTTGTGGCTTCTCTGTCGCCTTAAGGCCCGCAGTGCTCACGATAAGGCTATGATCATACAAGCTCTTGCAGCTTTAGAAAATGGCAACTCGCCTCAAGTCTGGCTTGCGCATCTTAAGCAGTAAACCTTTGTCATGGTCGTTACACCCCAAGTTATTATAACATTGCACTGGGATCGACATGACTTTCCTTGTTATTCTCTTAGTGTTGGAAAGCCCTTGCACTCTGCCGGTCTTACTGCCATTGCACGCAGATGGGTTTCCACACTAGTACTTTTCTATCGCCTTGAAGTCTGTGCCTTTCTTTCAGGGTGCTGTCAACTTGTTTGTCCTTATAAGCAGCCACAGTTCAGCCTCAGCTATCCCCCTTCGTCCACCATTGTCACGATACAGGATGCGAGGCAAGGCACTGCACTTGAGTGATCCTTGACGTGGACCTCAAGGAGAGCATGTCCTATTGCATGCGGGTTAGACGCGTTCACGCCCCGCCCCACGAAAAAAGGCGTCGGCTGATATGGCCTCAGATCTGGGGAAGGGCCCTCCTTGGGACTGAGTCATACTATGCAGCCACTTCTGCACAGTGGGATAGGACCTCTACTCTCGCCTGTATTGTTTTAAGAAAACAGAAAAGGGGGAACTGTGGTGAGCCGCTTCTGCCGTTTCTGCAGATTATGGTCGCCATTACAAGATGACGCTGGCTCCGCTGTGGTCTGTGACAAACAACTCCTTATCTGGGAGAGTTGGCACATGATTTTTCACCACCCTGTGAGAAAGCTCCACGCGGCAGCTTTGCATTGGGGCTTGGGATGCTTTATTAAGGCTGGGAGGGGCATCAGAGAGAGAGAAGAAGAAATATCAAGGGCCTGAATAAACTGCTGAAAGAAGATTCCTGAGTTGCGTCTTCCTTGCGGGCAAGGGGTCGCGACAGGTACATACCTGCCCATAAATCTGGACTGGAGGTATAGAAACAGTTGTTATACCCAGGGCCTTGGTGCATGCCTGTAATCCCAGCTACTGGGGAGCCTGAAGCAGAAGGGTCGCAAATCCAAGGCCAGGCTGGGAAACTTAGAGACACTATGTCTCAAAATAAAATAAAAGGGAAGAAAGAAGATGTAGCTCTGTAGTAGAGCATCCCTATTTGATTTTCAGTACTGAAAAACCAAAACCAAGCCAAACCAAACCAAACCAACCAACCAAACAAACAACAACAATAACAACAAAAGAAACAGTAGGTCAGTGGAATTTTGTCACTAGAGCTATAAAACCCTGTGGGGTTTGAACCAGAGTAATTCCTTGGCAAATGAAAGCTAGTTTACTGGGTAGAGTATGACAGGCTTATATTGGAATATGGTCTCCCAAAGAACTACTGATTATACATTTAGAGAGGAGTAGCTTCAGAAAGAATAGGCAATTGATGATTTTCTTCTTCTGTGAGACATAGCTGTATTTTTTTTTTACAAATGGATTTTATGACATTCCCAGTATGCTTTCAGAAAAATCTTCTTATCCTTGAGCTAGTTTAGATGGGTTACACAAAAAATACTGTAAATTCAGGGTCCCTTGTTCCCTGGTTCCTTATATTGCAATTGATTTTTATAAAACTCTGGCATATATCTTTATCTCTATTAAATTTAATTTCAGCTGTTTTGATCCATCTTTCTGGTTTGTCAAAATGATTTTCAATCTGTAATTTATGATATAAATAAACATATTAGCTGCCAATCTCAAGTTGGTGCTATTTCATGTTTGATGGGCATATCTTATGTGAGTTTACATCTAATGACGGTGGACAGCTCAGGATGCAGGATGAAATCCTGTGTGCAACAACAACAACAACAACAACAACAACAACAACAAAATGTTCTTTAAATCAA